GGACCCCTTCTTGGTTACTGAACTAGACTCAATAAGACTCAAAGCAGGACCACGGGACGCACAGATGAGCTTGCAAATGCCGTGCAGCAGGCGAGCCACCCGCTGGCGCCGTGATAAAATGTCACCTGTGTGCAGGCCTAGGGGCCAGGGTGCGGCAGCACCACCCTCAGAGCAGGCTCCCCCAGCTTCTGAGCAAAACCTGAAACACAAGGAGGATTTTGTCCCCAGACCTGCTGCTGGAAGGCAGAGCCTCAGTGGGCCTGGGAGGGGATGGGGTGAGGGCCCAGCTGGGCCTCCAGCTGCCCCCTCTCCCCACGTGGTGTTTGCCCCTGAGACAATGAGAAGCCTGCACTGATGGGCGGCTAGTGGGGAAGCGCCCCCTCTTAGCACCTTCTGGCCATATCATTCTTAGTGGGTGAGAGGGAGCAATAGAGGCCCAAGAGGAGGATTACAATCTGTCCTAAAGGGTTACTTACACCTTTAGGACAGATGTGCCTATTAGTGAACGTGGCCAGCTCTACACCTCTCAGCGCCCTCCCCTCTCCCACAGTCCTCTGTGCCTATGTATTCTCTCTCTCTCTCTCTCTCTCTCTCTCTCTCTCTCTCTCTCTCTCTCTCACACACACACTCATACTCACTTAGAGGCTGTAAATTTGTTTTTTTCGCACTCGACCCAACGTGGGGTCTGTGAGAATATAAGAAAGGAGGTCAATACGGGTCTTAGCGCTGCAATTTCTCTGGCTTTGCGCTCTGATTAATGGCCCCTGTGACGCTCCCTCCCAGCCTGCATACCTGAGAATCAGATTTCACCTTCTGTGCCCTGGCCTCAGGCCCTTGGCAGGGGGAGCTGAGTCTCCCGGAGTGGTTGGGGGAAGGTGCCTGCCAGCCCAGAGGGTGGATCCGGCCAGGCTTGGAGTCCTCCTGTCCCACAGGCCCCAAGGGCTGGGTTGAAAGGACCTTCGTGAAAACATGAAAACGCAGGCCAGCTCTGGGTCCTGCCCCATGGCAGTGTGGGGACATGGGCTGTCCTATCCGTGGCCTGCCCTGAACTTCCCAGAGCACCAGACTTTTCTACTCTCTCCGTTCTATTTCCCTCGGCCTGCCTTTGCATGTTCCAAGGCTGTCTGTCAGCAGAGTGTCAGGGTTTCTCTTAGTGACAGAAAAAAAAAATGTTGTGCTAAAATCACAGAAGCGCAGCCTCTCTGAGCTCGCTCCCCCAGGAGAGCTCTAGCAGCCGGCCTTCTCGTCCCCCCAGGCCCTTTCTCTGGATCTCGTCTTGACCGTGAGGAATGGAGCAGAATCCACCTGAGTGCCAAGCAGAGTGGAGGACTGTGCAGGAGTGTCCTCGGGGTCTCACTCTTCTCACCCACATGGGTGCTGCTGGGTCCCACGATAGGAATGGGGTTCCAGGGATAACAAAGTCATGACCCCTGTCAGCATCTGAGCACAGCTCTGCATGCTCCAGTGGACAGGGCATTTGCCCATTCTCACCACACCCTGTCAGTGTTCTCTCTCTCTCTCTCTCTCTCTCTCTCTCTCTCTCTCTCTCTCTCACATACACACACAAAAAACACACGGATGCCCTTGTCTCTGTGAGCTGCACCCTGGGAAAAAAAATTGCTGGGGAGGTGGGGGAGACCCCTTGCACCAGCCGGCTCTCCTGGCCTTGGGGGAGCACCTTCTGGTTCCCTGGTAGCCTCCTCCTCCAGCCTGCAACTGTAGCTTAATCCGCTTGCAGTTATTTTGGGCATTGCCACCAGGGGAGGGTAGCCAGGGCGCTCTCTCCATGAGCCCGGGGGTCTGCGGAGTTAATGCTCCAGTTGGCTGGGTTCCCCTGACTGTTTTGGCCTTGCCTTTGACAAGTCATTTAATGAGTGCCGTTGTGGGGCGGAGTGAAGCAGGCAGGCAGAGGCTCAGGCCCCTCTTGGGTCCCCACAGGTCTGGCTCACGTGCCTCACAAGAGTACACAGCCAGGCACTTTGCTCAGAAAGCCCAGTTGCTATGGAAACAGTAGGCAGTATTTTCTCCTTTCTAAAGGGAAGCTCCCAAATGCCTGGATGCAGTAACTGCTTCATGTGAGGGCTGCATTTTCCTGGGTCTCTAGCGTGGCAGATGAAGCTGGCCATCTCTCTGAGGGAGCTGGGCAACCAGGGATCCCCAGAGGCGAGGCCCCCAGCTGACTGCACGCCCCAGAGGCCTCTGTCCACCTGCCAGTGCCCAGTGCGCGGGGCCTGCGAATATGCCAGGGCTTTGGAATTCGAGCCTTGGTCTTGACGGTGTAGTGTGGGGCCAGGGAAGCGATGGCAGCGTGGGGGCAGGATTCAGGGGCCCTCCCTCCTGTGTGGGGCCCTTTTGTCTGGAAGCAGGGACATCCGTGGTTTCCCATCTGCCTCATGACAGCCTCTGGTCCTGCTTTTTCTTCCAGCCACTGCTCGGCCATGATGCTTCTGGGGTTTGGCCCCCGAAGGCTGGAGGGTGGGGAGGGGAGTAGGGGATGAGCCTCCGGTATGCACTCAGTGGGTGTCAATAGAGGCAGGAGAAGGAGCCATTTGTCCACTGCATGTCTAGGAAAGGTGGGTGATCCCCAACCTTCACAGTGACCCCCACAGAGACGTGAGGACACAGGGCCGCGTCAGGTGTCCTGGCTGGAGGCTGTGTCCTCAGCCACATTAACCACCCCTCACATTCAGCTGGCGCCACATAAGCCCCACCTCCTCCCTCTCTGTCCTCTCTGACCTCTCTCCCCACTGCCCTCTCCAGCTGCCTCGCCCGCCCCTTAGAAACACCTGACCCTGCGGGAGCAGAAAGGTGGCTCTAACCCTGGTGGCCTCACCTTGACCAGGCACTTCCTGTGGAGCAGGCCCAGGGGCTCTGGCTTGTAGCCCGTTGACTGTTCTGTTTGTGTGTGTGTGTGTGTGTGTGTGTGTGTGTGTGTGTGTGTTTCAGCAGTTCTCACAAGCTTGCTTCTCTGGTTTTCTTGAAGAAGGAGCATAAGCCTGACCCCTTGCAGCCTCAACAGCTGTCTCAGTGGTGGCCCTCACCAGGGAAGTTGGGCAGATAAAGATCTTTATCCTGTACCAAGGGCTTCAGGTCTTTGTCTCCTTTACTCCCGACAAAACCCCCCTCAGGACAAAGCCCTGTGGGGAGGCAGGCGAACTGTTCACCTTTCACGGGGAACCTGCGCAGGGGGGGGCACTGCAGTGGACATGCTGGATCCCAGCCCCTGCAGGGGCCTCAGGCCGGGTCCCACCGAATACAGATGTGGGTCCCCAGGGGCAGGGGGCACAGCTGGCAGGGTCGGCGGCCTGCCTTCCGAGTCAGCGACGTTCCTGAGGACCACGCACAGGACGGATGGATCCCGGGTGGCTTGTTCCTCTGCGACGCTGGCAGCGCCTGGCTCTTGGGTCGCCCTGTCCAGTGCTGCTCCTGGGAGCCCATTGGAAAGTCAGAGCCATTGCTTTGAGCAGGGTGGGCAGGGGCACCTCTCCATTCTGTGTCTCACCCCATGGTGGCTGAGGCTGGGGCTGCTGGCCTGGTGAGGGATGTGCCCAGAGAGGCCCTCCCCAAGCAACAGCCCCTCTGATGGGACTGTCCTCTGCTCCCCGAGGCCTGGGCCACACCCCCCAACGAGTGCTAAACCAGGGGCCACAGGGGAGAGGACTTGAGGGACACAGCAGGCTGTGAGCCGCATCTCTACCAGACTGGACCTCCGGTGCTGAGAGATATGGGCCTGACCTGGGTCACTTGGACCTGAACTGTGTCCCCACCCTCCTGCCACCCACCCCACCCCAGGATGAAGGGAGAAAGGAAACATGGCACAAAGACGGCTAAGCAGGCAGTTAGTGGCAGAGGCCCAGTGAGGCGCTGGGCTCTGAGCTGGAGCTCCTCCCCTCCCCCCACACTGCCCCAGCTCCTTGGGGTGGGGGTGGGGTGGGAGTCTTTGGCACTGGCCTCTAACCTCACCCAGCTGTATCTGGACACCACGGAGGAGGGTTTGGATGGTGGGCACTGGAGGCAGAGACCAGCCTGGCACCTTGACAGCAGCTCACAGGGTGCAGGAGGGCCTGGGTCAGGGGGGACAGGCGTAAAGAGGGTGAGCAAGGTAGCACTGGCCCAGTGCTGCAGGTGAAGCGTGCTACTGAGATTATACACATCCGGCAACCACCTGCCCAGACACAGGTGGTATGGCCTGGAGCTGGGTCTGCTTGGCTTGCTGCTGCTTGGCAGCCCTGCAGCTACTGTCCTGAGCCCAAGCCTGGCTCCCAGAGCAGGTTTTACCAGGAGCCTCCTGCCCTGGTCTCCCTGGCGGCAGCTGCTGCTGCCACAACCACGTTTCCCTCCTGGCAGAAGCATCCTGGCTTCTGGAAAGCCTCCTGACAACCTGCCTGGCACTGCCAGCCGGGCCTGTGTGAGGCCATCACTGCCTGGAAGACTGAGCTCTACTCAGCGTAGATCACAGGCCCAGTGCTGCCCGGCCAGACGGAGACCGACCCGACGCTGTGGGCCTCCTGGAGCCCCTGTCCCCATCAGTCAGTGACTGCTCCTGCCGCGGCCCCCCTCCCACTGCCCCCATTCCCGTCCACCCTGTGGACTCCAGCCTTCAGGTGCATCTTGTCACTCCCCACCTCAAAAGCCTCCCTGGCTCCCCACTGCCCAGAGCACCCCGATTCCCACAGGTGACGAGGCCTGGCACAGTGACGAAGGCCATGTCCGTGCTTCCTCTTCTGTGTTTGAAAGAATACCCTGTGGTCACAGCTGGTCCCACGAAGGGGACTCGGCAGGGGAATTCCAGATGCGCCTGCTGAGCCTCAGTGCGTCATTTTGGGCCTCGTGGCGGGTCTCAGTCCCTGTGTACAGGGCAGGAGGGGCTGGGGGAGCCCGCAGCTTCCTTTTCTTCCAGATAATTTCCCACGCACCCACCCGTCCTTCTCTCCCCTGACCCCAAGGCTCCCCTCAGGCCAGCAGGGTGAGGACTCACTTCGGAAAAAGGGTGGGAGGATTCCAGGGTTCAGGACCCCCACCTAACTGACCCTGCACTGCCGTCTGCAGGAGGAGCGGCCCCCCTACCACCGCCACAAGAAGGGGGGCTCCGTGGGCAGCGTGTGCTACCTGTCGATGGGCATGGTGGTGCTGCTCATGGGCCTCGTGTTCGCCTCCGTCTACATCTACAGATACTTCTTTCTCGCTCAGGTGAGGCTGGGTGGGAGGGGGAGCAGGCTCTCAGAGAAAGGGGAGCATTCAGAGAGGGAAGTGTGGGAGTTTGCAGCGGAGGTGGGAGCTAGCAGGAGAGGGCAGCGTGAGCAACTGAGAGCCAGGTGCTTGGGGTTTGTGAAGAGGGGGAGCAGGAAGTCCTGGGCATGCCCCCCAAGATGGGAGGAGTGCCCAGGCTAGCCCAGAAGGCCTGCCCCCTCGTCCTCCCTGGGGAGCCTTGCTCTGGTACAGGAGCCAGGACTGGGGCCCACCCTCTAAGGCCCACAGACCCTGGACAAGGGTCCTTACCCGTTTCATCAGACACACCTGCGGTCAACAGGAAACTCTCCCAGGGGTACAGTCAGCAGTGGGGAAGCCGGGATTAGAACCTGGGCCCTTGTGGCCTGAGGCCCCTTCCCACAGAGTCACCCTGGGCCGTTGTCACCAGAAACTCAGACCGAGCACAAATCAGAACTCTGATCCCTCAAACCCGGTGCCCAAGGGTCACGCTTTAAGGAATTCCCTCCCATTTTGTGTTTGGACGCAGGTTATGAAACGAGAAAGGTGGAGGGTGGGTTTACAGACCCACGCACACCATGCCCCCCGCTGGCCCACCCCCAGCGATCTGCTCCTGCAGCCAGTCTGGGCTTCAGCTAGGCCAGGAGAACTGTTCATGGTCACAGTGACCTTGTGATCAACGCAGCCCTGGGGAGGGAGGCAGTGCCCCGAACTGAGAGAAGTAGTTAAGGTAAAGGTAGCTCGAAAGAAGAACCTTAAGTACAACAAATGGGGAACCTCAGAGGGATGAAAAGGCTGCAGATGGCCAGTCATTTATGACCCCAGTGACCTCTCCCACCTTAAGCATTGGCCTTCACCTTGGTCCTCACCCAGTTTTCCCACAAGGGAAATCGCTGAAGAGTTTCTGTTCCCTGGGACTTGCCCCTGGGAACCCGCTGACTTCCCCTTCTGTCCTCCCTCCCTGCCCCGCAAGGCCTGCTTCCTACCTTTCCCTGGTTTTCACTTTCCTGTGCGGACCCCGCCCCGAGGCCTTTTTCTGCTGTGGCCACAGCCTCTCCTCCACCCACTCTGGCTTCTGGGCCCCTCTACTCCCAGCCCCACTCACACTCCAGGGTTCCTCACCCACCGGAAGTCCCAGGGACTGGGGCACCTCACAGTAGCCTCTGGTCTGTGCCCTGGGACCCTGTGACTCGGGCGTGCTGACTCACCCTGGAGCTCGGGCGGAGACTGGAGGAAAGTCCTGCCCAGTTCAGGCCAGCTGTCCGGGCACCGATGGAGGAGGCCCTGGAGAATTACCCCTGGCCTCAGTCATGTCATAATGCCTCTGCCTCCCTTCCCTTATTTTTTTAAAATACATTTTTACTGATTTCAGAGAGGACGGAGAGGGAGAGAGATCAGTGATGAGAGAGAATCATTGATCGGTTGCCTCCTGCACGCCCCACACTGGGGAGCAAGCCCACAACCCGGGCATGTGCCCTAACTGGGAATCAAACCGTGACCTCCTGGTTCACAGGTCGACGCTCAATCACTGAGCCATGCTGGCCTGGCTCCCTTCCTTATGATGGAGGGACGAGGCTGGCCACTCAGGGGAAACAGCGTTTGTCAAGGTTTCTCATGAAGCATGGGGCCCAGGGAAGGTGGGGGCTGGTGTGAGGTTGGACATGGAACTGGAATCACAAGGGCTGCCTCTCAGCTCCTCCCCGCCCCCACTTTGCCCCCAGGTCTTCAGGGCCCCACAGCAGGGGGCAGGAAAGATGGGTGAATGCCCTCTGGTGGCGGTGTAGGGCACTGCATGCCCCCGGAGCCCAGCTTGTTCAGTTCAAGCTCCTGTGTTTGCCCCTGAGGACCCTCCTGCTCACCCCAGGCTCTTTCTCAGGTGTCTGTCCCTCTGGGTCCTCCCCGTGCTGGTCCACCCCATTTCCCAAGCACAGACTCATGGACCTGAAGCCAGAAGAAGCTTGAGGGAGCACCTTATTTTACAGATGGGGAAACTGAGGCCCAGAGAGGTCATCCACCCAGGAAATGGTTGGCCCAGCTCACCCTCCCTGACTCCCCACGTCTCTCAGTTTCTCCATCTGTGAAATGGGTCTCACAGTCCCACCCTTCCTGTGTCCTCAGGCCTTAAGAGAGTGAAGTGGGTGGGCAGGTGGCAGTGGCCGGGCCCAGGGCACTGCGTGACCAGTCTGTCTCTCTCCCCACGTTGCTCAGCTGGCCCGAGACAACTTCTTCCACTGCGGCGTCTTCTACGAGGACTCCCTGTCCTCCCAGGCCCGCACGCGGATGGAGCTGGAGGAGGACGTGAAGATTTACCTCGAAGATAACTACGAGCGCATCAACGTGCCGGTGCCCCAGTTTGGTGGCGGCGACCCTGCAGACATCATCCACGACTTCCAGCGGGTGAGGCCAGCCAGGGGCTGAGGCTGGGGCCGGGGCGGGCAGAGGGGCACCCAGGGGCCACAGCCCCCTCCCACCAAGAGTCATGAGGAAGAACAGGCGTGAAAGGAGAATGCTGACGGCCCTCGTACATGCTTTGACTATAGACAGAGTAACATCAGCTGTGTGTAGGGCATGACTACGGCTTAGCTTTGTTGAGGTTTTAAAGACATTGCTTTTATTACACCAGGTGCTAAAGTAAGTTTATAGTTGTGCGTATACAAAACACAAAGTTTTTGTATTATTATTTAGTGATTGTATTATTTTCATACGAACAACTGAACCTACTTCTGCCCTCCCTGCATGGGTAACGTAGTTATCACTGAGTGAACCAGCCACGGATTCTCCCCCCGCCACCTGGCAGCTGCAGACGCTGGCTTCGTGGGTCAGGGTGTCCCTTTTTATCGCATATTCCTGTGCCCACGCTGATCGAGGTGCAGGACAAGGAGGGCCTGGGATCGGGGGTTTCTCCCTGAGGGTCCCCCGAGGTGGGCCTCCCAGCTTTGATGACATGCAGTCGGGACATCACTGTATTCCCCAGACCTCGGCTCTGTCACCCCATGAGAAGAGCCCTGTGACACTGAGGCATTTAACACTTGGTGTCTTTCATCTAGTAAATGAAACACAGGCTGGGAGAGGAGCAGAAAAAAGGGGTGTATCCCCACGGCGGGGGTGGGGTTTCTGCCTTCGCTAGTCAGAAGCCTCTCCCAGCCCCCTCCCCCCATGGGCCAGGCCCTCACCTGCAGGGACTGACATGACCCTTCCTTCTCCCCAGGGTCTGACCGCCTACCATGACATCTCCCTGGACAAGTGCTATGTCATCGAGCTCAACACCACCATCGTGCTGCCCCCTCGCAACTTCTGGGAGCTCCTCATGAACGTGAAGGTGAGCGGTGGTTTTGGCCGGATCTTGTCCCTCCCTGTGGAGCCAGGCCTGGGGCAAGGGAGGTTCCATGTCCTCACTCCATGCCCCCGTCCATACCCCACTATATACCTCACTGCATACCCCAGTCCATGCCCCACTCCATGCCCCAGCCACAGTGCAGGGAGGTGCAGAGGCCCTGCCCTTTGGGTGGGAGACCAGACTCCCACACACGCAGAATTCAGGGCAGCGCAGGCGGCAGTACTTAGCACAGCAGAAGTGCCTGGGGCATTAGAAGGCCGCGCTGTGGAGCCTCTGAATGAGGGAGGGGGCATGTGTGCGTTTCAATGTTGGGGGACACAGCTCGAGTGAGCAGAAGGGTGGCGACAAGGGGAGTGGGCAGTGAGCTAGTGGAGACCACAGGAGGGGGCCCTGTGTACTGACCAGAGCTGTGGCCACTCCCCTTGCAGAGAGGTACCTACCTGCCACAGACGTACATCATCCAGGAGGAGATGGTGGTCACAGAGCACGTCAACGACAAGGAGACCCTGGGCTCCTTCATCTACCACCTGTGCAACGGGAAGGACACCTACCGGCTGCGGCGCCGGGCAACTCGGAGACGTGAGTGGCCCGCCCTGGGCTCCAAACCAGGGCCGTCCCAGGCGTGCTGGCCCCAGAGCTGGAGACCAGTGGTCAGACAGCTTAGAAGCTCAGAAATAAATGTTAATTGAGCACGTACTACACACCATGCATTTTACGGTCTTTATGTCCTTAAAGAGTATAAGTTACCTTCATCATCATCATTATTGCTGCCCCTTTTAAAGGTGAGGAAACTGAGGCTTCAAGAAGTTAGTTAATACCAGCTCCTGAGCACTCAGCATTTTACTGCACTGCCTCGGAGTGAACCTGGGTTTGGTTTCCTGGGCCTTCTCCTCCCACCCCTCACCCTCCTCTGGTCCCCGCAGGCTCTGAGGCCCAGCCAGTTCTGGGCCAGGGCAGGTCCTCACTGGGATTTCTCTGTTCCCTGCAGGAATCAACAAGCGTGGGGCCAAGAACTGCAACGCCATCCGCCACTTCGAGAACACCTTCGTGGTGGAGACGCTCATCTGCGGGGTGGTGTGAAGGCCTCCCCGCCCTCCCGGTCCCACCCCTGCCTCTCCTCTTTTCTCTTCCTGCCACTCTCTGGCCTTCCTTCCCCTCTCTTAGCTTGTACTTTGGACGCCATTCCATAGATGTGACGTGCCTCCCTGTTCCCATCAAGCCCTGCCCTCTCCCTGTCCCAGAGCCATGACCTCTCAAGGCCCCCACCTCCGCTGACGTCCCGGGCCTGGGGGACAGAGAGGGCGCCCTGAGATGGTGTCTGTGACCACCATCTTAAAGTGGGGTCCTCTGGGGAGGACTGGATGGAGGGGCTGGGCACGTGGGGGTCTTGGGCTAGGGGATAGGGTGTGGGGAGGGGTGTGGCGTGGGGTTCAGGAATGTCTGCACAGTTGGGAAAGTCCTGAAGGCTTTTTTCTTGGATGGCACACTTCCTCCTGTGTCCCAGCTCCCGGGACTGGGCTGAGGATGGGGGACTGTGCCAGGGAGGGACCCATCAGAGCACAAGGGAAGATGGTTGTCAGTGCCTTCAGCCCACCAGAGGGAGCCTGGAGCCTGGGGGTGGGACTGAGTTTGTCAAGCACAATCGTTCTCTGAGTGGAACCAAAGAGGGAGGAGCCAGGGCCCCCAGCGCTGGCCCCCCAGGAGCATGGTAGGGTCCCACAGGCAGAGCCTCGCTGGAACAGGGCAGAGGAGGGTCGCTTCCCCCCCTGTCACTGTGGGGCTGAGCGCAGCACTGACTCGCCAAGTGGGTGGGGGCTCCTGGCTTCCTCCAAGCTTAGAACTGTTGTAGAAGATCATGTGGAGGGGAGGGAGAGCCACCTGGTACCTGCACACCCTGCCTCCTCTTTGTTCTGAAATCCGTCCCCCTCTGCTTTGGGGGAATGCACCATTTTTCCTTTTCCTCCTCACTTTTGCATGTTTTACTGATCATTCCTTATGCTAACCCCTCTGAGCCCTGAGCCTTGAAGAGGAGGCTTCAACGCCTCCAGTCAGGCTTGGGTGCTCCCTGGAGATGAAACTCTTAAACGCTTTGTATATTTTCTCACTTAGATTTCTTTTCAGAAGTGTCTGTAGAACAATAAAAATCTTTGACTTCTGACTTTGACTTGAAAGTGGCAGGTGGGGGTGGGCGGGGGCGGGGATGCTACAGCCTGGGGGCAGAGTGACAGGGGACGTGGGGGGGGGGAGGGCAGTAGCAGGGGCAGCCAGCAGGCTTTGGCGACTGATCCCTGCAGAGGGGGCCTGTTCCCTGGTCCAGCCGAGGACCGTAGATGTCCCCTCATAAGCCAGGTAGACTCACGTTTTACAGGTGAGGGAGAAGGAGGGGCTCTGAGGGCTTGTGCAACCTGCCAAGGTTATGCTGCTTCTAAGTGCCTCTCAACCACCCCGGAAGATGACATCATCATTGCTCGTCCTTAAGCACAAGGACGCTGACGTGTTCTCCACGGTTTCTGGGCCTTAAGTAGCCACGTTGGTGGGGCTCAGCTGTTTGGCATGAGTCAGGTCCACATTCTGCAGAGAAGGAAGAGGGAGAGCTGCCCAGAACCTTGACCGAATGAGCCCAGAGGTGGGATGAGGATAGGTGCCTTCACCGTAGGTCCCAGTCACAGGCTCAGTAAATCTTGCAAAGACATCAATCTAAATGCAATCAATTAAAATGCCAACTATTTTTTTAACTTGACTTTCAGTTCTTTTAGGGAAGAATGCATGGAGAATAGCCTCCAGATAGTAAGCATTATAAACTACAATTAAAGTGTTTGCTGTAGCAAAGGGAATGGATGTGGTGGAGGCCTAGAAATTGACTTATGTTCAAGAAAATTTAGGGGGGACGTGAATTCTTTTTAGTGGAATAACTGGCTAGCTGTTTTGACAAAAACTAACCGGGATCCTACTTCCTTGCAATAAAATTCTAGATGGAGCAAAGGTTTTGAGTATGAAATGAAGCCTTGAAAGTATTTGAAATGATTTAAAAGATAATCTGGGAGGAGAGAAGACTTTTCCTAGTGGGACATCTACCAACAACTTGGACTATGAAGAATTAGAACTTACATACAGCAAAACACCAAGGCAAAAGATTTATAAGCTGCAAACTGGGGATGTTGAAACATAGGAAATAAAAAGGGCTATTTTCCCTAATATGCCAAGTTCTTAAAATCATGAAAAATGAACTCAGTACATAAAAAGGCAAAGAATATAAACAGGCAGTTCACAGAGAAATACAAATGGATCATAGCTAAACATGAAAAGATGTTTTATTACTGTTACATAGAAAATACAAAACAAAAGAGAACCATTTTTGCAGGGATGGTTCATTTATTTTATGGAGCAAAACATTTAAAGTAGACAATGTTATATGTAAACCACGAGTGTGTAAGTTGTGAAGCACAATATATTTCATTTAATTTAAATAACTAAAACTTTTATTTCTTAACCTATCTCACTGACTAGGACCTCTGGTACCATGGGGATAGTCACAAATCTTGATTTTAAAGAGAATTCACCTTGAGTATAGTTTTAGATATTGGGGGGAAATACTCTTTTTAAGGTTAAAGCAGTTGTCTCCTATTTTTAGTTTTCATTTTTAATCAAAGATAGTTGTTTAATTCTTTTATCAAACGTTTTCTTTATTGATATGATCACATGTTTTTCCCCTTTAACTTGTTAATGTGGGAACAACATTAATAACTCATTTGGTCATGATGTGTTCTCTTGTTTCTATACTATTGGGTTCTGTTTGCTGATATTTTCTTTAGCAGTTTCGGATACATGTTTATTAGTAAGGTTGGCCTGTAATTTCCCTTTCTCACACTCTCCTTTTCAGCCTTTGTGTTATTAGACTAAGTTGGGGAGACTGGTTTTGTGGTTTGGTTTGGTGCAAGTTTAATAATAGCCAGTCTTCTCAAGTATGTACAAGCCCTCTTGTACCAATGGCAGTAAATTGGTGACAAAAATCAAATTTTAAAATGCAATGGGTTTGACCCAGCAATTTCACTGCTAGGAATTTGTCCTATGGATATACTCAAACAAGTTTACAGAAATATAGGTGGGTACAAGGATATTTATTGTTGTAATAGCAAGAAACTAAAAACAAAACTCCCTCAACTGGGGACTTATTTTTAAAGTGCATATGTGTTGCCATTACAAAGAATGAAGCAGCTCTAATTTGTGCTGATGTGCAAAGTTCTCCAAGATCTATAATTAGGGTAAGCCCAGGCCAGTGTGGCTCAGTTGGTTGAGCATTGTCCCATGCACTGAAAGGTCACCGGTTCGATCCCTGGGCAGGGCACATACCCAGGTTTTGGGTTCGATCCCCAGTCCGGGTGCATAAGGGAGGCAACCAATCGGTGTTTCTCACATCAATATTTCTCCCTCTCCCTCTCTCTACATTCAAATAAAGAAACATATCTAATTAGGGTAAAGTAGTTGGCAGAGCAAAAATAAAATATATATCCCATTTGTGAATTTTCTGAAAGATAGCTCTATGGATGTGCATGTACTGCTTCTGGAAGGATACTCCAAACCATGTAACAGTCATCTCTGGAGGGCAGGGATCTGGAGGCCTCTATTTCTCCTGTGAAGAAGATGCATTCTCTTTAGAGTTTAAGTGTGTGTGTCTCCGTGTATAGTGTATATGTGTCCCCTGCAGCCAGGATGGAGGAGGCCTGCTGGTTGAGGAAATGTCCTCACTGTCAGCAAATGGCACCGTGTCACCCAGTTCCCCTCTGGCCCTTGTGGTCTGTCACTGATCCTAGACAGGAAGCCCTATATTAGGCCCAGGTTTGGCCTGAAAAAACAGAGCAGTTGCAAACGTTAAGTTGACATAAATAGGAGGCTCTGTAACCGCCTGTGGATGTTGCTATGGAAACTGGAGCCTGGGCAGTCTCCATGGAAACCATTCTCAACTCTCTGCCTGAAGGAGTTGCCACCCACGGGTGTTGAAATCTTACTTATCAGGGACCTTAGAGCTTCAATAAAGGCTTAGGGAGGGAATGGTGGGATGGCCCCTGCTCACCCAGGTGGGCGCTCGGCACCACCAGCTGCTGCTGGAGAAGGAGGAAGAGCCACCATCCCCACAGGAGGTGCCCTTATGGGGAAGCAATGTATTCAGTGTCCCCGGAGGGAGGAGGGCCCAAGTCGGGAGGTCCGGGCACCTGGACTCTGCCACTGACCACCGGTGTGCTGTATAGCGGTGGTGGACTAACGCTGGGTCTCGGCTCCAGCCCCCTCTGTAAAATGGAGAGCTGAGGCCAAGTCGTTCTGAAGGTCTTTTCCAGCTTTGGTTTGCATGGCCTGATGGCATGGGGCTCAGAGGCGGGGGACACCGGACGGTGGCCAGGGCAGGCTTCCTGGGATCACCTGAGCTTCGAAGGCTAGTGAGGAGTGGCAGAGGTGGGAGACGCAGCAGGAAAGAGCAGCATGCCCTCCATGGGCCAGCGGACAGAGGTAGAGTCCCCTGAGCGTGGCTTGGGGTCTGGAAGGGAGGTTTGGAGTCCAGGGCTGGGGGTACCAGGGATGTGTGGTGCTCTCCCAAGACTGTGGGTCCAGAGCACCCGTGACGCCCTGACACTGCTGGCATCTCCTTGGCCCTGCTGTGTGTCGCACATGCTCAACTGCCAGAGCACGGAGCAAGAGACGTGGGAGCAGACAAAGGCCGTGGTGCCAGCCTCCCACCTGTGAGACAAAGACCTTCTCACTGGAAGTAACATGTCGGGTCCAGCCCCACTGAAGCGAGGACTGAGAAGGGTGGTGGGTAGCAGTGTGCTAATGGCGGGCTGGGAGGGAAGGGGAGGGAGGGAGGAGGGTAGGAGGGAGGAAGGGAGGATAACCTAGACCAGCATCCTTGTCCAACATTTACTGATGGGGACCCACTCTTTTCAAGCATTTGCCAGGGGCTTTCATTGATTTCTTTTGTTTATGTCTTACATTATCTCTAGGGTAGGTATGAATTTCATAACCACAAACTCAGGCATGCAAAAACTCTTTTTTTAAATAATAATCTATGTTGTATAAAAACCTATTTTTCAATTCCCCATTTAGTCTGGTGACAGAAAATGTCATCTTGGTCATTCTGGGGTAAACTACAGTTTTAAGCTCAATCAATTAGTGGTTCACCCTTTTAGTAGATGTTCATTTCTGCCTCCTGCCCCAGGGCCCTGTATTTAGGATCTTCCCTACAGTGGGGCTTTGATGGGAGATAGCAGCTGCCTCCTAAAATGTCTATGAATACACGGAATGGGGGCTGTGAAGACCAAGCCACCCAGCATCCTGTGGGCAGAAGGAGGTGGGGGTACCTTTTCTGTGGTTCCGTAGCATTCATTGAATCATTGGTTCCCCTTGTCGGCCCCCAATTGCCGACACTATTTCTCCAGCCCAGCAGTGGTGCTCTGAGCTCCCCAGTGCCCTGTCAATAACGCCTTTCCTCCTAGGTTAGCCAGGATGCTTCCTGTTACTTGAGTCACCATTTTAGCAAGCTCGAGTACCTTGTGATCAGAAAACAACTTAATCCTTTCTTCCCACTTCCTTTTCAGTGGGGTTGGTTCTCACCCAGCCTTGAATGAAATCTAAGGTAGATTTCTTGGGGTTTTGGGGGGGTCCATCCAAGATCTTAAAAATTCCTGGAGTCACTTTTAGGCACAAAAGTCCAATTTCAAGAATTAAAATGTCTAGTTATGAAAATAGTTGAGACTCCAAAGTTCATTGGAAGCTGAAGCTGCTCCCCCCACACCCTCTGAGACGGGCCCACACAGGAAACCTGTGGCTGGCAAAGGAGAGCGTGGTCAGCTTTATCTCCATGACCCTTCTCCGGGCATGCTCCACCCACCCCCACCCCCCCGGCTACCCCAGCACCATTGGGTGGGAACCGGTGCAGGACAAGGAGGGGCAGGCAGGGTGACTGTGGTATCTGGCACCGTTCCCCTCCATGGGGTAGGTGCTCATTGGGAGTATTTGATTCCCCCCATCCTCTCTACTCACTGCACCTCAACACAGGTGAGCCCTCTGCCGGCTCCAGTCTTCTTGGTCTGGTCTAAGTGCTTCTGAGACATTCCCACGTGCTGATGCTGGGCTACAACTGCAGGGCACCTCTCCTTGCTCTGTGCT